AAGGGTCTGGTAGACAGGAGATGCAGAGGACTAGAGTTGTGGAGCCCACCTCCAGGCGGTAGTCAAAGCCATTCCAAGGGCCTGGGGGGAAGATGGACTGTTCTTCTCTAGGTAAGCAGGTGTAAATGTTGCAGGAGTAGAGGCAATCAGGGAAGGTATGTCCCACTGATTGGAGCTGTGTCCTGGGAGATTGCCCGGCGGGCCTATTTTTGCAGAAATGGTCCAGTCCCAGTTCCCAGGTGCCTGCTGATTCAGGGCAATTCATCATTAGTTAATATTTCAGTGCCTATCGAGCGCTGCTTCCCTGTGCTCTCTGTAGCTCCAGAAATGCTTGCTTGGGGATGTGCGGCTAGGACCCAGAACTCCAGGAGAGAATAAGAAACACACGTGCATTCCCATTGCCAAAAACCACTTCTTTGCAGCTGCAGAACAGAAACAGATATCAACACATTTAAGCCATACAGGAGGGGGAAGAATTCCACCCCAAATGAAACTTTGTTTGCCAAGTTTCTCGCTAGTCTTTCCTATACGGGGGGTAGGAAACATTCCCAGAAGAGGATGGCAAGTGAAGTTATGACAAACTTAACCGACTGAGCCACCCAGGTGCCCAAAGTTATGACGAACTTAAAAAAGGCAGTTTGCAAGGGAACGCGATCTTCAACAAATGAAAAAGTGTAAATGGTAATATTCCAGCAAATTAGCTCCTAGAGAAGCCCTTAGGCAGAACTGTAAGCCACTATAATTAAGGATTCGGAAAATATCAGTATTTAATTAGAACCTCTTTTCTTGGTGAAATGCTGTTGTGTTGCTCTAACTTCAGGTGTAAGCAACTAAACATACCCATTTCGAAAACATGTTTTGTTGCAAGCCTAGAATCAATGCTAATGTTAATTTGCTTATCTTGTGGCTTATCTTGTGTTTCCGATTAGAGCTGAATTTTAAGAGCATTTTATCTTTAATTCCTGAATACAGCCATCTCCAGTTCCCAGGCTGTTACAGGTATTTATTCACACACACTGGGGAACATCCCATAAACCTACCAACTCCTCTGTAATCTAATAAACACGGTTCCTCTAATATTTAATGCATATTTCTGGCAGTTGTTTTAGACAAGGAGTTTTCAAATCCATTCCCAATGTAATCAAATATCTTGACAATAGCAAAATGTTTCAGCTTTATCCCTTAACAACATTATAGAAATTGGCTTGTGCCACATGAAATGCTGATTAAAACACACACACACGCACGCATGCACACACGGAATACCTGGTGCCTGACTCACGATCAGTCTTAGGCCCCACTCTTTGCACCTGGAAAATTCCAGACAACAGATAAACCTTTATTCCTTTGCCTATATAGGGACGCATGTAACTCAAAATGTTTTCCCGCCGTGATGGAGAAGATGAAGCATTATCAAGACTAACGCTACAATTTAATGCTTCAGAGGAACGAGTGTATATCATCACTCCCTCCGTAGCCAAGCACACTAATTAATATTTATTGCACCTGTCAAGCCAGGAGCCACAGCCAATCCATTCCTGTGGCAGTTCAATGGGAGACTGGACACCGTATTTCTCCTTGGCAGACACGTTTGGGTCATCAGCAAAGACAAAAGCCCCTCACCCCAGCGAGACGTCCTAAACGCTGGCTTTTCTCTTGCAAAATTAAACCATTAATTCTGTTCCTGTTAATTTTTCTCCTTGTTGGAGATTGCTGTAAAAAAGGAAGTGAGGGGAGGATGGAGAAAGGATGAGAAGCAGCTGCACGTTCAGGATCAGCTGTCGAACGTATTTATTAGAACAAGGGCTTTTGGAACCCATGACCTTTGCTTTGTATCAGACATCCCTTAAAGGTTACAGACATGTTGGGAGAGAGATGGTTATAAATCCTCCTGAAGTTTAATCAAAAGCGGCTGACGACCCAGCAGTAAATATGTTATTAAAACTCTTTGGCTTCAAACTTGGTTCAGCATTGTCAATACACCTCCATCATCAACAGGTAGCTGGCAGTGGAATTAATTAAGCTAGGGTAAAATAATAAATGAATTCTCATATTGCACCTACATCAAGGAATTTGGCACTCGGCACAGAGAAGTTTCTATCAAGGCTGTGAATCATTCTGTAGCACATCTGAGTAAACCCAGCACGGCTGTGGAACGAAGTTTTCTCAAAAATTTAATTAGGAGAACATGTAAACCGTACTGGAGAAAAGTAGGGCACCAAATGCTGCTTTATTTATTTTATTTTACTTTTTTGCTAATTCTATCAGGAGCACCTCTGTCATTAGAACCACATGACCCAGACTGTCAAGCTCTTGATTAACAGGAGGAATACCCATGAACTGATCACCGAAGATTATCTGGGCCATTAAATTCTCCCTTTGACATAACTACTCTTCCCTTGAGGATGACAATATATTTTTTTTAATTTTTAATTTTTTTAGAGATTTCATTTATTTATTTGAGTGGGAGAGCGTGAGAGAGCGAGCACGAGCAGGGGGAGTGGCAGAAGGAGAAGCAGACGTCCCGCTGAGCCGGAAGCCTGAAGAGAGAGGCTTCATCCCCAGATCCTGGGATCATGACCTGAGCCGAAGGCAGATGCTTAACCGACTGAGCCACCCAGGTACGCCGAGGATGACAATATTAACGCTGATGATAACAAAGCAAGAAGAGCAATAATAAAAGAGCTAGCAGATTCTGAGCTGGTATGATGCCCCAGGGACTAAATGCTTTACATACATTATCTCATTTAATTCTTACAACCCTTGGAGGCAGGAGTTATTAGGTCCATTATAAACAGATGAGGAATGGAGGTATAGAGGATGCTTGTAACCAATATCACTCAGGTATAGTCTGTTACACTCCAAAGCTGTTCTCCTGACTATTGCCTTGTCTCTAGGATGGAGGCTACTTCGGAGGGCGGTGGGGTAGTATGAGAAGAATTCATTTACATGGGAGAGCCACACCTCTGCAACCTCTCTAGTGCTGTCCCCTGGCTCCTGCTTGGGTCCATATTTCCCTGGGGCAGTGTTGTTCATGTCCTGATCTCTGATTTTGAGCTCCTTTCTCCCAAACTCTCCCCATCCAAACTTCTCCCCAGGGTCCATGATGGCTTGCTGGTTACCTTCACTATATGTTACTCATTTGTGGTAAGGTCCATGCTTCTCTCATCAGTGCCTAATATGATTCTTTGGGAGCCTTCTATTCTCTTATTCCATTTCTCTTCTGACTAATCGATGGGCCTGGCACATACATCCAATTGCTGTCTGCAACATCATCGATTACTCCTCTCACAGTGCATTATGGCCGCACCAATAATGTTTCCCCAAAACCACCCTACAGTGTGTTTGTGGGTTTACCACTGCTAGAGACTTTGAAAGCCAATTTAGTTATTTCTAATTTTTTATTGGGGGCGTGGTTGTCAATGATGACTTATTTGGGGTTGGTAGTGACCAGGTTGAAGAGAGATTCTTAAAATCCCAGAGCCAAGAAGACTGTACAGACCACTGGGCTTTAGAAAGAGCCTTTCCACTCACTAGGCTGGCCAGTCACCTAATGCCTTAGCCTCAGATTCCTCACTGTAACTTGGGGATATTTATTCCCCTTTCCATAGCGTTGTTAGAAAGATTAAATGAGATGATATATACAAAACCTTCGGCGCAGCGTACGCGCTCATTATTATTAGATGTTTTGCATATAGTTTTCCAAGGGTCGTTTTCAAAGGGTGGTCCTCCAAACAGGAGCAGGGGTATTGCCTGGGAACATGTTAAAGTGTAAATGCCTGGGCCCACCCTAGACCTACTGAATCAGAACTTCTGGGTGTGGGTCCCAGTTATTGCATTTTAACAAGCCCTCATGTGATTGTGATGCTCTAATGTTTGGGGACCACTGGCCTACATTCCAAGGCTTCTCCTTGGCAAGAGTTACATTTTGATGGCTGGACACCTGTTTTCCCCTTCCTCTCTTCCTCGTTTGGTTAATGATGACGGCCGCTTGCTCACCATCTTTCTCCTCTTCGCTCTTGGTGTGGGGTAGAGGATTCAGCTGGCTTCCCTATTCAAAGTAAGATTTCGACTGGGAAACTTTGCTCCACTAGGGGCTCATCTGTCTTTCTAATGTCTCCTGCTTCCCATGCTGTTCTAGTGGAAATCGTGGGACCCTCCCGGTAGGAGCTGATTCTATGCTCTGTGGATTGTCTGCCTCACTTTGTAGTCCTGATGATTATTCCTAATAATAATAATTACTGAAAGCTTTTCTTTGACTTGATTACTGCTTCATGCTGAAGAAAAAAAAAAAAACTCCCTTCAATTTTTTTTTTTCCTTTTCTGAGGCCTGACAAATGACTATTACCATGTTAAATCATTCACCTGTGTAAAGCAAAGATTTTTATTTATGTCTCTGATGTTTGTTCTTAATATCTTTAGAAAAACATAGAATTTATATTAAATTGTAAATGGGGACTTTCACTCTAAACAAAGGTCGGCAGCTTTTCCCTTTTCCATACTTAATTCAACTCTGGAAGACTGGTACACGCATCATTTCCTCCTCATGTCTGTTTCACTGTTGAGTGAAGTGTTTTGAATTAATTTTGTTAAATTATTAATAGCTCACTATTGGAAAACATTCCAGCTCCAGAGTTTGTATTTCATCAAGCGCCGTGAAGTAATATGGTAGATTTCATGCACACGAATGAATATGCTTCTAGTGGTTAGGTGAAATTTTGGCTCTGGCCTACGCACAATGAATTCTCATGAAGATATAATTTAATAACAAAGTGGATATTTTAGTTTTCATTAAATCAGGACAGTTTCCTGGGAATCAAATGATTAGAATTACAGAATGGGTTGGGTCATTCATTTATTTCATTGAAATGTGCTAGGCACTCTGTTAGGCACTGGCAGTATGGGGGACGAAAGGAGACATGGGCTTTGCCCCTAAGGACCTTATGGTCTAGTGAAGAAGACAATCAACGAATCACCAGAATAAATGTAAAATGACAACCATGGTAACTGTTATAAAAGAAGGGAAGAAGGTACGTGTTAGCATATGACAGAGAAATTGACCTGGTCTTTCCTGGGAAGTGGTGTTTCCTCTGAGGTGAGGCAGGAGTATGATTATTTCAGGAAAAGGGGTAGGATGGTCATGGGAAAGGGTACTTCAGAGAGATGGAACAACATGTACAAATGTCCTGTGGCAGGAGGGAGCATAGCTTCTAAGTGGGGCTGAGACAAGGTCAGTGTGGCTAGGAGTCAGGGAACAATGACGGCCCATCAAGGAGTTTAAAGCAGAGGAAGATGTAAATATATTTAGGTTTTGGCAAGATCGCTCTGGTTGCAGTGTGGGGCGTGGGGTTGTCAGGAGACCAGAATGAATGTAGGCAGACTAGCCAGCAGGCTATTTCAGAAGAGATAGCACAAAAGGGCTGGATTGGGGTAGAAGTGGCAGAGATGGAGAGAAGGAGTGAATGTAAAGATAATGACAGGATGGTGATGGGCAATAGGTGATTCTCTGATTCTGGTGTGCATATGGGTACTGTTAGCAAGTTAAGAGACCCCTGGAAGAAAACCAGTTTTGCCAGGGAGCTCATGTCTGCTTTTGGACTGTCGAGTGTGGTGAGCCAAGGGAGGGCAGGATATGTGGGTCTGGAGCTCAGAGGAAAGTCTGAAATAGTATATGTACATTTATATTTATCTGTATGTATGTGGTGATGCATCTACAGGCATGGATGAGACGATGGGGCATAGATTCCTACTTTAAGGAATAGGAAGGAATACATTTAATGCTAAGTAGAGGAGAGGACGAGAAGGAATGGCCAGAGGCAGGGAAGGAAATGAGAGTGAGGTATCGCTGAAGCTGAGGAAAGGAAGTATTTCAAGAGAGCAGGAGTGGCCGACAGAGCCAAAGCATGCCAAGAGAAAAGGCCAGCAAAAACATCTACTGGATATGGAGAAACCCGTGGTTTGGTTTGTCTGACACTGGATCTTGGGAAAACAATGAGTGATGATAACATAACAGTGGTCCCTGAGAATAATTGCAATATGTACTGTTGAGGTTATGCATCTCTCCCTACCTGAACCCATCTCCGGCCCGAGAGGGAGGAGAACAGGGAAGAAGACCCCCTGAGGTATGAAAGGTAGGGAAGTATATACAAAAGTAGGCTCCGGAGGCAGACGTCAAAGTTTACATTTTGACTCCAAACTACTGAGCTTGGCTGGATTTCTTTATCTCCCTAAATCTGTAAAATGAGCATAACTATCTTACAGGTACTTGTGAGGATTAAGCAGATATGGACCAAAAGCTTAGCAAGGTACCTAGCCCACAGTAAAGGGTAAAAACAATTGTTCGGGGGCGCCTGGGTGGCTCGTTAAGTGTCTGCCTTCGGCTCAGGTCATGATCCCAGGGTCCTGGGATCGAGCCCTGCATCGGGCTCCCTGCTCGGCCAGGAGCCTGCTTCTCCCTCTCCCACTCCCTCTGCTTGTGTTCCCTCTCTAGCTGTCTCTCTCTCTCTCTGTGTCAAATAAATAAATAAAATCTTTAAAAAACAAAACAAAACAAAACAAAAAACAATTGTTCGTTTAATAACTGAATGATGGGTTTCAAACAGGGAATGAGGAAGTGATATGCATTTTAGCAACACGGCTATATCATCTATCATCTATCATCTGTCTATCATCTCTTTAAATGGCTTCATAATTAGAAGAATATTTATCATCTATCTAAATGGCTTCATAATTGGAAGAATAACAATAACTAAATACAAAGAATGCTCATTTCTGTTACCATGGAAGGGGGTTTCTAATAGTGTGCCATAGTCCTTTGCTCCAGGCCAGGTCATTTACCTTTTCAGTTAATGCTTTTCATGAGGATGTAAAAACAATATTATGAAATGTACGGATGATAAGATGATATGAATGCAGAGTGATAGTAAATATAACCTGTGACAAAATAAAGGTTGAAAACAAAACAAAACAAATGGTCAGAATCAAATCAGACAGAAATTTAACAAATCAACTATTGAGTCTAATAAACCAACTGCACAAATTCAGGACAATACAATTCATGTGGTTTTTTGGTAAGAGATTTAGGTTTTGAATGGACAGTGAGTTCTATATAAGGCCATGATGGGAGACAGCTGCCCCCCAAAAGCTGTGTAGACACTGCTGTAATCAACGTAATTCAGTTTCTCTCTTCTTTTGGGGCCTCATCTAAACTACATTTCCCAACCTCCCTTGTGTCTGGTTTTTGCCAATGGAACACAGGAAAATGTGCTTCTCCTCTGGGCCAAGGCAGTTAAGGGAGAGCACTAAGTCTTCTCCCTAATTTCACTTTTCCCTTGACTTAGGGCTAGACCCAGTGGGGCACTCTGAGGACCTAGGAAGTGCCAAAGCCCGGGTCCGTGAAGGAATGTTGAGGAGAGCCTTTCCCCTGCCCTTACCTCCTGATCTGTAACTTCATGTCACCTAAGAAGTGAGAAAAAACCCAAACTAGCCCGCGCGCTGGAGCTTCTCGCTCTCGCTCTCGCTCGCCTGCCCACTCCCTTGCTAACTCGCGCTTTCGCTCGCGCTCTCCTCGCGGATCGAAGGGGCTCTAGCCACAGCCTCTGGCTGGGAAGGGAGACAGAGGCGGCGGCTCAGGGGGAACGAGGCTGCAGTGGTGGTGGTGGGAAGGTGTCGGGCGAGGACGAGCAGCAGGAGCAAACTATCGCCAAGGACCTGGTCGTGACCAAGTATAAGATGGGGGTTGACATCGCCAACCAGGTACTTCGGTCTTTGGTGGAAGCATCCTGCGCAGGTGTGTGGGTACTGAGCCTGTGTGAGAAAGGTGATGCCATGATTATGGAAGAGACAGGGAAAATTTTCAAGAAAGAAAAAGAAATGAAGAAAGGTATTGCCTTTCCCACCAGCATTTCAGTAAATAATTGTGTATGTCACTTCTCTCCTTTGAAGAGCGACCAGGACTATATTCTCAAGGAAGGTGACTTGGTAAAAATTGACTTTGGGGTCCATTTGGATGGATTCATCGCTAATGTGGCTCACACTTTCGTGGTTGACGTAGCTCAGGGGACCCAAGTAACAGGGCGGAAAGCAGATGTCATTAAGGCAGCTCACCTTTGTGCTGAAGCTGCCCTACGCCTGGTCAAACCTGGAAACCAGACACACAAGTGACAGAAGCCTGGAACAAAGTTGCCCACTCGTTTAATTGCACACCAATAGAAGGTATGTTGTCCCATCAATTGAAGCAGCATGTCATCGATGGAGAGAAAACCATTATCCAGAATCCCACAGACGAGCAGAAGAAGGACCATGAAAAAGCTGAATTTGAGGTACATGAAGTATATGCTGTGGATGTTCTTGTCAGCTCAGGAGAGGGCAAGGCCAAGGATGCAGGGCAGAGAACCACCATTTACAAAATGAGACCCTTCTAAACAGTATGGCCTGAAAATGAAAACTTCGCGTGCCTTCTTCAGTGAGGTTGAAAGGCGTTTTGATGCCATGCCATTTACTTTAAGAGCATGTGAAGATGAGAAGAAGGCCCGGATGGATGTGGTGGAGTATGCCAAACATGAACTGCTGCAGTCATTTAATGTTCTCTATGAGAAGGAGGGTGAATTTGTTGCCCAGTTTAAATTTACAGTCCTGCTCATGCCCAATGGCCCCATGCGGATAACCAGTGATCCCTTTGAACCTGACCTCTACAAGTTTGAGATGGGGGTCCAGGATGCAGAGCTAAAGGCCCTCCTCCAGAGTTCTGCAAGTCAGAAAACCCAGAAAAAGAAAAAAAAAGAAGGCCTCCAAGACTGCAGAGAATGCCACCAGTGGGGAAACATTAAAGAGAATGAAGCTGGGGACTGAGGTGGGTCCCATCTCCCCAGCTTGCTGCTCCTGCCTCATCCCCCTCCCACCACACCCCAGGCTCTGTGAAGTGCAGTTTGTCTTCTCCACCCAGGACCGCCAACAGAGCAGGGTCTCCCTGACCCCATCCCTGTCCCCACCCAATCCCTTCCAACAACAACCAGCTCCAACTGACTCTGGTCTTGGGAGGCCAGGCTTCCCAGCCACCAAAGACTACTTTAAATAGAAAAGAGAAATTGAATAATAAAATCAGGAGTCAACAAAACAAAACAAAACAAAACAAAAAACCCAAACTATTATGGGTTAAGCCATGGAGATTTGGGGACTAGTACCACAATGACCACCATTATTTCTCACTAAAAAATCAACAACCACCAAAAATAGAAATGAAACAAAACCACTTTAGTTTTTCGTGATATTAATAGAAGTATGGTGTCCAATTTAATGGGAAATGATATTCTGATAGAAATTGTCCAGGAAGATACTAATGACTTGACCAAGATTTTGTTTTCTATTAGTAGAGCTATAGACCACAGCCTGATTTTTAGGTTCTTGGCTTCACACAAGAAGACATGGACACGTTGGGAGATATCTTGGCATACACTAAACATTCAGTAAGTATCTGTCAATGAATAAATATTAAAATGTATATGTTCAATGGTATGACCACAAGAGAGGTGGTAAATTGAATCCAGGTCCTATTAAGGCTGAGATTATTCAGCCCGGAGAAAATGAGACAGGATCCGTAACACCAACTATTAAAAGTACTATTTTGTAGAAGAAGTATTAGATCAGTTCTCTGGGAGCCCACCAGGTGGAACTGGAATAATAGTTTAAAGTTAGACATTTCTGTTCATTGTATGATGATGGAACTTATGGAAGTCCCTCATCAGTCAGAGATGTTCAAAGAAGTAATCTCTAACAGCATTTGAAGTGTTTAAGCAAAGAGTGAGTGACCATCAGTTGGGGGATATTATGGAAGAAATTCAAGTACTGAATGGAATCCTGGATAAGATGCACCTTAAGACCTCTTATAACCTTAAGGTTCTATGTTCACATGGTTCTAAAATAAATTTCATCTAGAGATAGTGTCAACAAAAGCCACTGAACATAGAGACTCCTGTGGTGGGCCACACCTAAATTGTCTACAGTGAGAGAAAAAGTCTTTTTCATCTTTTAAATAGTAGTACTATTTTGTTCCTTGTAGAGCAGAGATGATGAATACTTGTCCCAACTGTCTTCTCCAGATTGCTAAATGTGGCTCTGCCTGATAATTTTTTTAATCTTTTTTTATATTATTATTATTATTTTTATTATGTTATGTTAATCACCATACATTACATCATTAGTTTTTGATGTAGTATTCCGTGATTCATTGTTTGCGTATAACACCTAGTGCTCCATGCAGAACGTGCCCTCTTTAATACCCATCACCAGGCTAACTCATCCTCCTACCCCCCTCCCCCTAGAACCCTCAGTTTTTTTTCAGAGTCCATCATCTCTCATGGTTCGTCTCCCCCTCCGATTTCCCCCCCCTTCATTCTTCCCCTCCTGCTATCTTCTTTTTCTTCTTCTTCTTCTTCTTTTTTTTAAACTTATAATGTATTATTTGTTTCAGAGGTACAGGTCTGTGATTCAACAGTCTTACACAATTCACAGTGCTCACCATAGCACATACCCTCCCCAATATCTATCACCCAGCCACCTCATCCTTCCCACCCCCCACCACTCCAACCCTCAGTTTGTTTCCTGAGATTCAGAATTCCTCATATCAGTGAGGTCATATGATACATGTCTTTCTCTAATTGACTTATTTCACTCAGCATAATACCCTCCAGTTCCATCCACGTGTTGCAAATGGCAAGATCTCATTCCTTTTGATGGCTGCATAATATTCCATTATATATATATACCACATCTTCTTTATCCATTCATCTGTCGATGGACATCTTGGCTCTTTCCACAGTTTGGCTATTGTGGACATTGCTGCTATAAACATTGGGGAGCACGTACCCCTTTCGATCCCTACTTTTGTATCTTTGGGGTAAATACCCAGTAGTGTAATTGCTGGGTCATAGGGTAGCTCTATTTTCAACTTTTTGAGGAACCTCCATACTGTTTTCCAGAGTGGCTGCACCAGCTTGCATTCCCACCAACAGTGTAGGAGGGTTCCCCTTTCTCCACATCCCCGCCAACATCTGTCATTTCCTGACTTGTTAATTTTAGCCATTCTGACTGGTGTGAGGTGACATCTCATTGAGGTTTGATTTGGATTTCCCTGATGCTGAGCTATCAAAATACCATCAACTTTTTTCAAAGAAATCGAACAAATAATCCTAAAATTTATATGGAACCAGAAAAGACCCCGAATAGCCAGAGGAATGTTGAAAAAGAAAAGCAAAGCTGGCAGCACCACAATCCCGGACTTCAAGCTCTATTACAAAGCTGTCATCATCAAAACAGTATGGTACTGGCACAAAAACAGACACATAGGTCAATGGAACAGAACAGAGAGCCCAGAAATGGACCCTCAACTCTATGATCAACTAATCTTCGACAAAGCAGGAAAGAATGTCCAATGGAAAAAAGACAGTCTCTTGAACAAATGGTGTTGGGAAAACTGGACAGCCACATGCAGAAGAATGAAACTGGACCATTTCCTTACACCACACACAAAAGCAGACTCCAAATGGTTGAAAGACCTAAATGTGAGACAGGAGTCCATCAGAATCCTAAAGGAGAACATAGGCAGCAACCTCTTCGACCGCAGCCACAGCAACTTCTTCCTAGAAACATCACCAAAGGCAAGGGAAGCAAGGGCAAAAATGAACTGGGCCTTCATCAAGATAAAAAGATTTTGCACAGAAAAACAAACAGTCAACAAAATCAAAAGAGAGCCAACAGAATGGGAGAAGATACTTGCAAATGACATATCAGATAAAGGGCTAGTGCCCAAAATCTATAAAGAACTTCTTAAACTCAACACCCAAAGAACAAATGATCCAATCAAGAAATGGGTAGAAGACATGAACAGACATTTTTCCAAAGAAGACATCCAAATGGCCAACAGACGCATGAAAACATGCTCAATATCTCTCGGCATCTGCCTGATAATTTTTTATCATGAAAACAATATCCATAGGAGGGCTTTCCTTACAAGTGGTCTTGAACCACTGTAGAGAATTTTTAATTGAAGCTCAATTGATTTGAAATCTATTGCATATCAAGTTGTGTTGCTCTGAGTGCCCACCAAGTGCCAGGAGCTCTATAGGTTACAGGTGCCTTCAGTAAGATTCCATTCTAAGCAGTTAAAGTCAGCTCTGCCCCTGAAGGTGACAAAGACCTGGAGCATGAGCCCAGCTTTGTGCACACTGTGTCTTGTAAGAAAACTGCGGATATCTCCTGAGTGTTTCCATTCACAAAACAGAGGCACAGCAATTGGTTTTCCTGAGAGGGATACTGTAAAGATAAAAGAAAATCTGTGTGAAGGTGTTTTGACTTTTTAGGAGAAATAAAAGAAGCTTTGGAGAGTAGAGCCAGGGTTTACGTCAGCTATTCTTTTAAGAAAATACTTTGAGTCTAAAGGACAAACCTCTGATCAACTAGGACCTTGATGTAAATGTCAAGGAATCCAGTACTTTTATTTTGATATCTATATTGTCTATTCACTTTGCAAACTCTCAAGAAGCTTGACCTCATGGAATTATAGAAATAAAGTCATGGACAAAATTTATGTTAGAAGGAAAGAAAGAAAAGAAAGAAAGAAAAAAAAGGAAAAAGAAAGAAAGGAAAGAAAGGAAGGAAAGAAAGAAAAAGAAAAAGAAAAGAAAGAAAAGAAAGAAAAGAAAGAAAGAAAGAAAAAGAAAGAAAGAAAGAAAGGAAGGAAGGAAGGGCCTCATTCTCTCATGGGTTCCATAGGATGCTTACCAGTGAAGTCTTCAACTGAAAAATTAATATGGTATACCTAAAACATCTAAGATTCCCTTTATTGCCACATTAATATATAAAAATCAAAGATCATTAACAAGAAAAAATTATTTGTCTGAGGGTGAGTTGACTAAATGGTTAGTATTTAATAAAACCAATAGGGGTAAGATTAGAAGCTTCATGGAAATTTCCATCTGGCACAATTGTAAAAAGGTATAGAAGCAAGAGAATAAAGTGCATAGTGTATATTACTCTAAGAAAGGATGTAAATTTAAAAGAAGTAGTATGTTGAAGTTTGATGAGGGTTGTGAGTTTTGGAGGAATATTTAGATTCTTTCCATGAGGCCACTGATATCCTCAAGGGGCTGTTAATTCCCTCTGAAACTTTTAATACCTTAATATGTTCTGCAAATATTTTCTGAGTAAACACTAGGAATGAATACATTGAATTTTAAAGTGAATTCTTGATTTTATTCACGGTTGTCATGCATTCTATTTCAAATACCACTCTGGCAGAAAAAGCTCTAATTTGAGAGAAATACCAGGTAGTTCTACGTAATATAATGAAATCAGCAGGACTTGAGGCTCTTCACACTCTCCTCCATTTGCTCTGCTAACAAGGGCTTTGCCTCCATTCAGGAAACTCTCACACATCTCTCCCCCCCCCTCACCCCCCCGCAATGTGTCAGGTCCTTCGTTGGGCATGAGAGACACAAGGGATGTGTGACTCAGAGTCCCTGCCTCAGAGGAGCTCACGGTCTAGAGCCGCCATGAGAAGATTTATCCAGTGCTCTAATACTGGGCTTAGAATGAATTTGAGGCTAGATTAACCAGGAACAACCTATGAACAGTTACTTAGCTTTGATTATCCTTTTCTTGAATCTTTTTCTTTCTTGAAGGATAATGTCTTGGGCTGTGAATCCCATAGATTCAGGGCTCAGAAATAAAATACTTCAAGTCCAAAGGATGGGCCCTCCTTTATTCCTGTTGTCTGGTGGGGTGCTCTGCATCTTGGGCATATTTGATTAATTTCCCACACACTGGCTGCTCTCACCACACTTAAGAGTATTTGCAGTTGTTATGGACTTAATTGTGTCCCCTTAAAATTCATAATTTGAAGTCCTAATACATCATACCTTAGAATGTGACTGTATTTGGAGATAAAGTGTTTAAAGAGGTAATTAAGGTGAAGTGAGGTCATATTTGTGGACCCTGATCCA